TCTAACTAGACCTAATTCTCCAGGTAGCGTTAATGAATTTACGATAATCAACAGGTGAAATAACAAAGGGTTTATCCTTGTGTTGTAATATATACAGTATTAAAGGTTTAAACAAACACTATCACACCGCCTGTAGTCTCCATGTACTCAAGCGGGACACGCAATGAATACGTGTACGCCTTGTATGAGTTGCATATTAATCTGTGAATGTTAGGAGTGCTTCCATGTCCTAAATTAGAGAAGCAGCAGCCAGCAGGATATGTATACAGAAGGAAAAATGCGTGCAGGAAGGGAGAACTCCACTGATGTTATTAATTAAATATGAGAGGCTGGAAGTGGTGTGTGCGCCGGGTGTGGACAGCCTAGTGATGACTGACTACGTGTTGAAGGAAGGTCGGAGGATTGAGCTTATAATATAAATACTAATATATTCATCTTCACCGAACGCATTTTCCAGTTAGAATCTTGATCCCTTGGTATAGTTTACAAAAACACAAGACTCTATGGATACATCATAGATAGTTTAGGACTTTTATATCTTCAGCCAAGTTAGATACCATTGAAAATATCAGTATAGCCTTAAGTCATTTTGCATTGACTTTTTTCTCTCTTCTAACGTAGATTTCAGCCAACCAATGATGATGACATATCTGAAATAGAAAGATAAATACAGTCATGTGCAGAGGCAGAGATGAGAGCCCAAACACTGGTCTCGGAACCTGGAAAGCTAATGAACGAACATAATTATTGCAACGGTATATACATCCACATTGGAAATATACTCATCTCATGTTATCAACGCTCTTCAACTGTCCTCTTTTTGATTGAGGTAAGGTTAGGTTTTGAATGTTTTCTATGGTCATTAGAATAATCACTATCCGAAACTAACGCATTTTTCCCTGTGTTAAAAAAATTAAAACCTAACAAAACTTTTTTCCTTGATTTTTTGCTGAGACATTTCTGTGACATTTTCCTGTGACTTATTTCCCTGGGACTTATTTCTGTTATTTCTTTGTAACTGTTCTGACTTTTCCCCGTGACTTATTTTTCTGTGACTTCCCTGTGACATTTCTGAGACTTTTTTCCTGTGACATTTCTGTGACTTCCTTGTGACTTATTTTCCTGTAACTTATTTCTGTGACTTTTCCTGTGACGTGAGATTTCTGTGACCTTTTTCCTGACATTTCTGTGACGTTACTTGGGGGTAAGTTAGGGTAGTTAATCTTCAGGTGAAATAAGATGGGGTTAATATTCAGGCGATTCCTCTAATTCTTATTTTCATTCCAACGCGAATACGTAAACCTGCCACTTAACCGCCTGGGATGTTGACAGTTGAAAAAGTACTGTATATTGGGTAGAAAATCCCCAAATTCATAGAGCATAAGCATATAAACATTTACCAAGGATAACACATAAAGTATTCGTACCACTTATTTCCAATTTGGGTCTTCATAGTGGTAGAATAATTCCAGGTACAGGTAAATGTTCAAAGAAAACACTATCATGGCGGATTTGGACTACATAAACGTTATGACGAGAAGCTCAAAGAAAGGAAAATATTAAGTCTGTGACGTCAATAAACATGTTTACCAGATGAAGTTTATTTCAAGTAAGATGTACATAACAATATTTACATTATTGTCCATATCGCTACTGCATTATACTGATGAGCCTCTTTAACCTAAGGTACAGGTGTGAGATACTAAATATGATTACGGTACAGTATTTATTAGTTTGTCCACGTTGGACTTGTCACTCAGCTCTTACTGTATATAGCACGGGTTAATAACTGAAAACAATGGATCACCTGAAGAATCGTCACCCCAGAATGTCCACCTGAAGAATCGTCACCCCAGGATATCACACCTGAAGAATTGTCACCCCAGCCTGCTCCACCTGAAGAATCGTCACCCCAGCCCACAGTGAATATAATTTGTATAATTAGGATAACATAAATATATTCCTTTGTGTTATGCATCTTTATTGTGAAAAGTTTAAAAAAAAGAAAAAGAATAATATACACCTAACCTAACCATGGAGGGTCCTGACCCCACCTGAAGAATTGTCACTCCAGGTGTTGCCACCTGAAGAATCGTCACCCCAGGATATCCCACCTGAAGAATTGTCACCCTGCCAAACTCTGGGGTGACAATTCTTCAGGTGATCCAAAAAACATCACAGTCCGTGTAAGAAAATATTCCTGTATATCTTACTTATGTGCTCTTGCAAAGGTATCAAATTTCCTTAGTCACAGATACAAGCTGCTGGTGTAACAATGCCATGAGTTAGTATTTCTCAGTATGAGGTTTCGTAGATAATAACGGTCTATTACACAAATTATTTTTTCCCTTCGGTGTATAATACAGTAGAGTTGCTGGTGCACCAAAAAATCTTGTACAGTATATCCATAACGTCTGAATATTAAGAAATACCCATAAGAACATGGCAGTCAAAAGGCAAGTATTATTAATATTTTTTTACCCCCAACTATTTTATCTCCTTTTACAGTATTTATCATTGAAAATTAAAGTTGTTCTGCGACACTTTAGTAAATAAAACCTAGAATTATATACAGTACTGTAGACTATGATGGTTGACTGGTAAGGTTAGGCTAGGTTACATCTTCCGGCCAATGAACCGCCGGAAAATGGAACCGAAACCAATAAAGGCACAACTTTCTCATTCAAGCTATGTCTTACACACACACACACACACACACACACACACACACACACACACCAAAATTATCATTCTGTTCCGTTTCATGATAATTTTCATTTAAGTTTTCCCCTTAAGCTTTGGGGTAAATCAAACCGGAAGTATAGTATTTAATAGTAAAATTACACGTTTCTTTTATTAACCATAAGAAAAATAAATTGCTTTAGGGATGAAGAAATTTTACCTAGTTATTTGCTCTAGCAGAAACTCCACTTGTTTGTCCTCGGCTCGTAAGTGTGAGGCGAGATGTTACGCAACACAACTTACAAAATAGATTCCATCCATCCCTCTGGAGTCTGGAGGACCTTCTAGCCAATTATAACTGGAATCCGGATTTATTTGATTGTCATCTCATAAATATCTGTGACCATTTTATCATATTTTAAAATCAGACAACTAATAAAACCAGACTAAAACAAACGTATCGCTAATTACGTAATAAGTTTCATTAACCTACATTGGAAGATCTCTTATGTTTGCTTTTAGTCATAAGTCTCTCCCATATACAGTTTATATGTATATATATTTTTGTCTACTGATATTATCAATATTAAAAACTTCATGATTTATAATGTATACAAAGAAAACAAATATGTAGTGAACATCACCTTGGCGCAGCTCCCCTAATCTGGCCTCCAGTGTACGGACATGGGCAAAATAACTTCCTTTTAAATGTTTAACTTAAGGTAGTTTGACGTTCGTGGTATATCTTTATGCACCACAATAAGCTTTAAAGTGTTCCGTTAATCACCTGTAATATATTAAAATGTTCTTACCCTTTCAAACATTTTGGTTAGGCAGAAAGTATATCCATCTTAACCTGCGGCTTACCAGAGGTTTAGTTGTTTTATTTATATTTGGTTGCCCAGTTGGTTGAACACAGGTTCTCCAGCATCTCTTGCTCGTGACTCTGGATTCATAAAAAAGTTAAAAGTTTATAGGGATTAGGGGAGTGTGGTGCGGTGTACAGTGTAGTCGGGAGGGGCGGTGTTGGGGGCGGCGTTGCACCTGTGGTGCGGCGCGGGTGATGCGAGCATCCGCTGCCACCACCGCCGTGCAACACTCGTGCACGGGTGCGGCCCAACACCTCGCCACCCCCACCTCACCATCTATTCCACAAATAGTTCTCCTGAAATCTGTCTTTATGGTTCCTTCTTGTTACCCTGTATTTCATCATAGATTGTGTTACGTAACTTAATCCAGCCATATTCTAATAATTTAAGTCGCAACTCGCACATATGGAATCAATAAGGGTCAAAGAAGAAGTACGACTGTTGCTATCCAGGATCATTCGAGATTTTAACATTCCTGAACATTCACCGTCAGTTTGTATCAGCACCGTTCTAAACATGGTATACTCTACTTTCTTATATTGTTGTAGTGAGTAGAACAGTAGACAAATATAGCAGTAGATATATTCTAGTTTTAACAAAATTACAAGCGAGATACTGTGCCTATTTCTCATTACCACTGATCTCAGCCTCTCACCTCTGCTTCGAACGTTTAATGTAATCTACAATTCTACTATTCTAAACATTTTTGCTGAAATGTCAATTCACATGTTGCTTTATTGTTTTAGCTGCGACCTCAGTACCTTTACAGAATTGGGAACTAAGTGGCACTAGAGTGGACAGGTGATAGTTGAATGGTTTGATGAGCGAGTTTAGGAGATCTATTTAATGAGTAGGAGAGGAGATAGGATTAAGGAATGTGTGCACCGGGCGGTCGACAGTTGCCAGTTTCTTGAGGCAGTTGTGAGCTGAGCTGAGCTACGTAGCAAATCGGCGAGTGTGTGTGTGTGTGTGTGTACGTATGTTGGACGCCACGAGCCCGACAGGCGAGCCAAACTTGGCCTGTGTCACCACCCGCACCACCTTCACATTCTTATCCACCATGCTTATTTTCCTTGTTACCCCCATTCACCAACACACTTTAATAATTACCGTATACTCTACCAGAAAGTAGAACTGGTATGTAGTTTTAAATATGTGTCGCCAAAATAGAATGCTTTAAAATGAAGACTTCTGGCAAGTCGGCCATCCAACGCCACACGTTTTTACTGCAACTTATATTTGCGTTTTGGAGTAAGGTTTAATTTAGCGTTATTCGAAATTACACGACGAATGATGCCCTGAGATATTGCATACATTCTGATGATACTCTATTTTTTTATTTTATGAGGTTTTATAGATAGAAGGGCTAAAAACTGGTGATGGGGGTAGTGTGATCGCGATCATTAATGGGGTCCCGGGTCGAGGCTAGCGGCCCCTTCAGTGTTACCCGCGGAATGGCTGCCGAGTACCACGTCGCCCAGCCATAGACTGTTTTAATGGCGAAAAGTAAGCACAATAGGCTTTATATCTCCCTATCATAGCAGAAGTAAATCTGTAGTGAACCACGGATGTAGTCAGTGTATAAAAAAGTGGCTAAACAAAGCAGGAGTGGTGGAAAATGTGGTGTTAAGCAGTGAGTGTTTTGGGGACGGACGGTCGAGACAAACTCGTCATTCGGCAGCAGACAGACGGGAGCCATCATCAACGTAGGCCGATGACTTCTATCTTCTCTTCCTCCTTTAAACTTATATGATTTCTAAGTATACCAACTCACCAACAGGACTACGTGTGTACCTAGCATTACCAGTATGAAAAAGGGAGTTAACTCTGGGATGGACGGATGGTTGGGCTCAGTCTCATCTTGTTTATGCTGTAGTTTTGTTCTGAGTCCTCCAGCTGAGTCGATGTGTAGTATTGTGTTCAATGTACAGTATATATAACCATCCCTTTCATATACTTGCTATAATACAGTTTTGTAACGTAAGGAACTGTGAGTGTTTCTCGCCAACATCTTTGAAGAGTTATAAAACACAAAAAAACATTCATCACTAGTGTATTATTTGCACCATAACGATATTAGTGTTAGTATTGGGAATGTTAGTAGTCAGGGCAAAATATTTGAGTCCACTACTGTACTGTACACATTTGACTAACCTACGAGTAACTTTCTTAAACTTATCCATTTATCACAAGAAACTTAAAGCAATTTAAACTAATCCAAACTATTCTTAAGCAAACCATATAACAATTTACCATAGATAATAGCATATGGTGCAAGCAACAGTGTCCAAGGTGTTGCGATGCGTTCCCCCATGATTACTGTTTATATTTTCAGTTATAAACTCCCAACAATATTCATATCGCCAACCAACATTAATCAGTACACAATACTGTATTCAAATAACAATGATGGTAGTACTGTCAAACTTACGAAGGTTTAACAGTACTCACGTTAATTACCTTGCAAGTAACATGATCACTATTACATCAAACTGTGGGTATTATTATCCTTTGGTCATCCAGCAGATTTTAAGTTAAGTTAGGTAGAAATTGTTTTTTGATGTTTTGAACAACTTCCAAATAGGTGGATGACCAAAAGGATAATTTTACAACATATGACCAACATTATGCAAAGGAATTGTTAAAGGACAATGCAGTGCTTGCAGTTTATTCATCATTACATAATAAATGCTTTGCTCTAAATTTTTCTTGTATCGTATGTGCCTCGGTCACCAATGATTTTATTACCTGTTCACATGTTAATTAGTGTGAACCTATCATTAACAGAAGTGGTTTTATCAGCATCGTTACATGTTTTATCTGGTCTCCCATCATCAGGTGTTACATCTGGTCTCCCATCATCAGGTGTTTCATCTGTCTCCCATCATCAGGTGTTTCATCTGGTCTCCCATCATCAGGTGTTTCATCTGGTCTCCCATCATCAGGTGTTTCATCTGTCTCCCATCATCAGGTGTTTCATCTGGTCTCCCATCATCAGGTGTTTCATCTGGTCTCCCATCATCAGGTGTTTCATCTGGTCTCCCATCATCAGGTGTTTCATCTGGTCTCCCATCATCAGGTGTTTCATCTGGTCTCCCATCATCAGGTGTTTCATCTGTCTCCCATCATCAGGTGTTTCATCTGGTCTCCCATCATCAGGTGTTTCATCTGGTCTCCCATCATCAGGTGTTTCATCTGGTCTCCCATCATCAGGTGTTTCATCTGGTCTCCCATCATCAGGTGTTTTTTCCATCACTACATTATCTATCATGTTCTCAACAACATCATCTATCCTGCTCCTATCACCAAAACCAACATGTCTACATCACCTGCAGTATTTATCCTGTCCTTATCAGTTACTTTATTTACCCTTTTCTCATGGCCAGCAGCATCTGTCCTCTCCTCCACACCAAGGGTTTTATCTTTTCTCTGTCTACGACATTTCAAAAGAAATTTCTCTGGCCCTCAGCAATTCTTTTACCCCCGGCTCCTTGCTTTACATATACAGTATAGTTATTTGAGGAGTAGCTCAGATGAGTTGCATGCCTTAACTACCTATTGCATTATCACTATAGATCATTACTGCTTCCTTATGTCATGGTAACAACAAAAAGTGCATGAGCAATATGTTTAGTGTGATAAGTTTCGTAAATTCTCCTGGGTTCGGGTAACGGTCTTAGCTCGTCTAACACAGGAGCATGTAGAAAATTGTGGTCAAATAAAAATTCTTGAACATTCATCTTGTTGGACACAATGTCAAAAACAGTTGGGACAGATTGATAGAACAGCTACGTAGAGCCTAGAATGCAACGTGATTCCTGAACTGTGGTGAACCATCAACAGAACACAGAGTTTGGCACCAATTCATATACACTGTACAGTTTCAGAAGGACCCCTCAGATACTGCAATGTTAAATGAAAAATTATTGGCCAAATTAACCACCTTATCCTAACATAACCTGAAACTGTTTTATTATCTGTGAAGCAAAAAGTTGTCTGCTATTGCCACAATATAATGCATTGCTGGAACGCTTTGTCAGTTTTGTTCGGTAAGAAAGAATTTTGTGTTCTATGGTGGGTGAAATGTCCTACAGTACACTATGTAGTTAAGTCATACAACCAATTGGCCGTATGAGCCCTTTTTATCCTGTCTCCATTACCAGTACAGTAGTTTATCCCAGGCTGTGCCCATTATGTGCAATGATTATATACTTGTCCTGGGTATATAAGTGACTTGAAATTTACTTGCTCTGACAAATTTTTTGATGACTTTGCTTGCTCGTTTTCATTTTAATGGGAAAATACACATCTTAAAGCATTCAAATATATTGTGTGTATAAACTCACAGATCACTTGTCTGTCCAAATGGTGTCAGTAGCGGTAGGGTAATCGTTGTCATGTGGTCATTATTGTTGTCACCTTACCTCACACATGCAGGGTGTGTGGCACCTGTGAGCACCTACCTTAACTACCACTCGCTCCCAGCTACTATAATTTGGTGTCAGTGGCGGTAACATGCGAGGTCATAACCCCCGTCACCTCGCTCCTACTGTACTGCCCTTTAGCATATCGTTTCCTTTGAAATGTTGACAACTTGACCAAATGACTAGAGGCGGTAAATTGCCTGCACCTGACATACTGTAGGTCACTAATCCTGGTACACGGATGACCTCCCTGGCTACATTACCATTGTACCTGTAGTGTTTATCCTGTCTCCATTAGTGGTGTTTATGTTAGGTTTTGCCCAGCACCTTTCCCTGTCCTCCTCACTACTGTACTAGTGTTTACTATAAAGTTAGTAACATCCTGGCCCCCCCCCATGACTCCTACCACAATTCTAAACTTAACATTGAAAAAATTGAGTGGTATGGATTTTTGATAGCTATCTCAGCTACCTCTTTTGTATTGTTACTTGATAGTTTTGGTGCATCTTAATTCAAAGGTGACTGTAGGTAATTTATGTATAGAGCCATGATGCCATCCTCTCTTGATAGTACAGTAATGGTCGATTGTTGGACACTGGATATTGTTGAAATAAACCTGCAAAATTTTGAGTGGTGTGGAGGTTTTGATAATCAGAGTGTACAGCTTGCGAGAGAGTTTGTTTCATTGTTGGTCCCATCACTTACATAGGCTATCCTGTCCCCCATCACCAACAGTGTCTATCCTGTCCCCATCACCAACAGTGTGTATACTGTCCCCATCACCAACAGTGTGTATACTGTCCCCATCACCAACAGTGTGTATACTGTCCCCATCACCAAGTGTCCATCCTGTCCCCATCACCAAGTGTCCATCCTGTCCCCATCACCAAGTGTCCTTCCTGTCCCCATCACCAAGTGTCCATCCTGTCCCCATTACCAACAAGTGTCCTTCCTGTCCCCCAGTGTCCTTCCTGTCCCCATCACCAAGTGTCCTTCCTGTCCCCATCACCAAGTGTGTCCCCATCACCAAGTGTCCATCCTGTCCCCATCACCAACAAGTGTCCTTCCTGTCCCCATCACCAACACGTGTCCTTCCTGTCCCCATCACCAAGTGTCCATCCTGTCCCCATCACCAAGTGTCCTTCCTGTCCCCATCACCAACAAGTGTCTATCCTGTCCCCAAACACAGATCACCTGCAAGACTTCTCTCCTAATTTTGCCCGAAAATTCACCAATGTAACCTAACTTAATGATACCTCCTGGAGAGTTATGTTAAATTAGCCTAGTGTTAGGGTGGTTCATCCTTGGGTGAAATAAGCTTGGGCAGATAAGGTGTACATATATCCCGTCCTCATTAGCACTGGGTGACTTAATGCTCCCTTTACTGCTCCTACCACTCAGGTGTTTACCAAGCCTGTCACCACTATTATCATGCTTATTGCCAGTGAAATTTTTATTGAACCTGAAAAAGACTTAAAACCGTGAACACTAACACGTTAACATGGCCGAACCAAGTGAGAGCTGGGGCAAGCTTAGTGGCTCCTGAAAAATACTGTTCAGTTATCTTACGGACATCATTCTCATGCATATCACCAGTGGTACGTAATTAAGGCTTATTACCAGGTGTGTGTCTTGATGCTTATCACCAGTGGTACTGAGTGGGTACAGTACTGGAGGAATACAGAAAAGACCAACATACAGTACTATGGAGTGTGTGATTACCAAGTACAGTAACTAGAGGTCATAGAAATGTCAATTGTTTGTGTAGTCTTGTGTGGATAATCAATATTAATCAAGAATTTATCATGCAACACTTGCTTGATCTCTGATGGTAAATAACACAACAATAGCAACAGTACAGTATCTTATGGTCTGCCAGAAACATTAAATATGGGGCAACAAATTTCTTGGTCTCATAAGAGGCAATACTGTTTAATTACTAGAGCAAGTTAGGCAGGAAGAAATTATTTTTTAATACAACATTGTTCAGAATATACTGTGTATACCGTACTGTTACTAAAATGCTATCTACTGGGGGTGGGGGATATCAGAATGAACACTGTGACTCCTGTTGTCTTGGTA